CTTCCTAAGGAAAGGATATGGACCAGAAGACATTGCAATTACTAAATGATATTTAGACAGACTTAAAGAAGTTCCAGATCTATACATGTGCTCTTATTATTTCAGTTATTTTGCCTTTAATGTAAATAAACATGTGCAAACAATATACTTGCTCTTGTGAATTTATTTTGATGTTAATTACATTGTGCGAGCTGTCTCTTTAATACCGCGTGGTTTACAAACATGTTGCTGCTGATTGGGCTGACATGTTTGACACACCCACCAAACACCGGAAAACGCATCTCACAGGAAACATGTCGTTCAAACCGGAAACCGTAGCAAAACGGTGCACATTGGTTTGAGCTTGAACTTGCCCCAGGTGTTCGGTGTTGAAAGCTTAAGCCTTAAGGAAATAAGTTAAATGAATATAACTACCTTATTTCCCCCACCATCTATACCAAAGTGGATTTTGTTTTCCAGTTAAAAGTGTCTCCTAATTTATATTTAAGTTAAAAATTATATAAACCTACTTTGCATCGATACATGCAGACGGAATTTCAGGAAATGTAATGTAACGTTAGCCTAATTTAGTATCTGCTTTACTCGGACCAATTTTATTAACGTCTACATTTTCAAAACTCTTCTTTTACATTTTGTTCTTGGTATGCGGATGTTTCGTGTTCCAATCAACGGAGCAAATGTCTTTTATTTTAAAATCTGTTAGCGTTTTTGAACTGCAGATCTTAAGCTACAATGGATAGACAAGAGCCGCTTGAAACGAAGGGCGGCCGTGTCGTTTTAACCAATCTTTCTGAGTTAGATATCAACAGGAAGAAGAAACTGGTCGTCAAAGGAAGCGCCAGATTACTTACGGAAGAATAGAAATGGTGTCAACAAGTAAGATCGCCGTGTATTTTTATTATTGAGTTTTTCCAAATGTTTTGGCAATGTCGTCTACAACTGTCTAACTAAACAAATAAATGAGTTCACCACCACACACAGTGTTAAAGATAAATTGTAGTCGTTGATAAAACTGCAAGGGATGCTTTGCTCGCGTGCCTGTGCAAACCAATAAGTTTAACGTTAAAAGCGAGACATTTTGGTGCTTTCTCGAAACTGTGTGTCGAGTAAATAATAATTATGTGATCAACTGATCTGCATAGTTTAATGTAGAAGGTCCATGTTGCGTTTAAAACAAAATTGTAATGTGTGTAATAGAAACGTCCTAATAATGTTCTCTGTAGGTGAAGTGTTTTGTCTTTTGTTGGTCGCGATCTTGTGGGGAGGCACAAACCCATTCCTGAAAAAAGGCACAGAGGGCATTGAAGGGGTTCAGAAAGACAATAAACTCCTCCAGTTTCTGGCTGAGATCAAATTCTTGTTTCTCAATATCAAGGTGTGTTTTATAATCCTTTTATGCTCATATAACAAGTACAACAAGTGCGTATGAGAATTTGTGTGTGTGTGTGTGTGTGTGTGTGTGTGTGTGTGTGTGTGTGTATATATAATTAATTTACCTATTTATTATTTAAAATAGTATTTGGTCCCATTCCTCTTGAACCAAAGTGGATCATTAGTGTTCTACTTCACTCTTGCTTCTACAGGTGAGAAGTTTATTGTCTCCACAAGTTTCTAGGTATTGACTGTCTGTTCTTAGTAGCATAGTATCGTACTACTATTTCTGCAGTATATATGAGGCTGAAGCTGGATTCAGTCTCATACAGTATATATAGTACATATACTGTGCACAATATTCACATTTTCTGTATGCATGGAATATCTGGATGACCTGTTACACTGTCCAAAATAGCAGTATAATTCAGAGAATACTGTAATACTATCCCACTGTGTGATGCACTGAACTGTTTAGAACCAGGCTGCTAAAAGATACAATTTTTGCACAAAGACAAACAATTTTCTAAGATGATATTGGTCGCAAATTCCTTTTAATTTAAACTGTAGGCAGCATATGCTTGCTGTTTAGTATGCAGTTAGTAAGCTGGTATTCCAAGCATAACCACTGTGCAGCCATGAAAAACATTTATTGCAAATATTAAGGCTTAAACTCGTTGGATGTACACACATATTAGCAAGCATTAGTGTTGCATTTTGAAGTGCTGTTTTTTTGTAGATCTGTCTCTGGCTGTTCCCATGGTGAACTCCCTCACATTTCTGTTCACGTTATTAATGGGTAAATTGCTTGGAGAAGAGTTTGGGGGAAAGAGTAAGTAGCTTCTGTGCTAACATCACTCTCTCTCTCTCTCTCTCTCAGTATAGCTACACAGGTCTTTGACTGTCTCTCTGCTCATGTAGGAGCTGTGCTGGGTATGTTACTCATCATGTCTGGAGTGACTGTGTGCGTGCTGAGTTCTGTCTCTGAGATGGACAGCGCAGGAGCCCACAACACAAGTGACCACTACATTCCACTGGACTAGGAGGTGAAGGAGGACTGTGGATCTGCTCCAGCCATGTGATCACACCTCACACACACAAACATATTCATCTGACACAATATCTGTGCTGCTCCATTTTCAGTATGTGCTGTGCATTTGTGCTAAGAGGTGGTGATGGATGACTTTATATCTGTACTTGAACCATGCTGGTGAAATCCAAATGTTTTGCACTTTAATTGCTACTGTGGAAAGAGTAACTTTTAAGTGTGTGGATTGTGGAACATACAAAATACTTGTATATATTGTATTATTAACTGATATTTATATGGATTCGTATTAATAATGTGAAAGTGCCCAGTGTTTAAATACTTTTATTTTAAATGTCTTTTACATTCAGAGGTATTATTTTGTTAAACATAAGAAATAAAAAAGTAAAAACATTTCTCAGTGAATCTCTGCATGCTGTAAGATCACTGTTATTTTGCAAGGGTACATTATTTTAAATGCTATTCATTCACCAAAGCAATCCCAATTTCATAGCGAACTCCATGTTCAGAGAATGTGTGTATCTTCAGCCTGAAGAGGTCGCTCAGCATCCCTGTCTGTCTGTTCCTCATGAAAAACCCCAGTCTGGTACACACACACATACACATACAGAGCAACAAAATGTGTTTAGATGGTTATTATTTACACAAAATTTACAATAATAGCTAAGTATTTAAGTCTGCCACATCTAATTTCCATTATCTGTGACAGTTCTGATAATGGACTATGAATTTAAAGGTACAAAGATGTCACAGATGCAGTTTCCTAAGGTACATAAGCTAAAAGGTACATATTAGTACCTTAAAGTACATTTTAGTACATATTAGTTCCTTTTGAAAGGGACACAACAGTGACAGTTTGGTACCTTTTTTGAGAGTATAATCATACAAGTCCTTTAATTTAAATGACCCTATATAAAGGGGAAAAAATGTCAATATACTACAGCATAATTTGCATATATGATTGAATGCATCAAATATATTGTTTAAAACTCAAACTGACAGGTTCTTGCTGTGTTACTTCACTTCGTAGGGAATGTTTAGAGACTTTGGGTGATGAAGATGATGAAGAAGATCTGGAATGCCGTGTGGGTGACTCCTAATATAAAAAGAAGAAAAAATCTCAAGGCTTTTTACTGTACATAGATGCAGGCCTGAAAAAAAATCTGCATGATTTGATAGTATAATATACAATAATACTATAACCATTATATATATACATAATATATATATATACAGTACATATACATAAACTTTAAGCGGATTCAATTCCATGTAAGCCTAAGTGAAAAACAAATAACATGTAAAAATGCAAAAAAAAAAAAAAAAGCCAGGTCAATGCTTGGTGTCTTACAACATGTTTGTTTGTATCATGCTGAGACTCTTTGCTGGACGTGTATCCCTGCTGTGCTTCTCTCTGTGAAGCTGACGTGTCCTCCCATGTCTCCCTCTCAGACACTACGAACTCTTTCTCTCTGCTCTCACTGGAGAGATCAGTTGATGGCCTGTGTAGTTCAGCTGAATTTCTCTTTAATACAACAAACAATTATTTCATGATCAAGTCATCATTACATATATGTGTATTTCACACACTCACATGATTTATGTTGGCTGTATCAAACTGGTTACTTTCAAGAAGATCCTCATCCTCCACAACTTCTGCTTCTCTCTGAAATTATAAACATTTTTATAGTAGACGAGATGAGATGAGACAAAAGAAGATTACACTCTAAAAAATGCTGGGTTAAATACAACCCAGTGCTGGGTAAAATATGGACAAACCCAGCAATTGGGCTGTTTTGACCCAGCGGTTGGGTTAAATGTTTAACCCAACCTTCTGGGTAGTAACCCAACCGCTGGGTCAAAACACCAATTGCTGGGTTTGTCCATATTTTACCCAGCACTGGGTTGTATTTAACCCAGCATTTTTTAGAGTGTAGAGGTGTACCTGATCAATGGGAAGCTCTACAGCTGTGTTTTCATCCTCTGCGACCTCCTCAGCACCTCGAACCTCCTCCCTCATCCTGCTCTTAGAGGCCTTAAACACACTGGGCTCATCTAACACAATTAAACAATATCACACAAGAAAGACTGCAACACTTTAATAATAAGTTACATTTTAGACACAGTATGGCATACTATTTTTGTATTTATTCAGGATTCACCTGTTGCGGCTCTAGGAGGGGGTCTGTTTGTGGGAGGGTGTCTGCGGACTCTCACAGGTCTGGCGTAGAAAACAGAGTTTTCCTCTCTTTCTCCTATCCTTCCTCTTCTCTTAACCGGCTGAGGGGAGCTCTCTCGCTCCACCTCATCTCCTGTGGACTTCACACGCCTGCCTTCCCTCTAAAGCAGACACCATTTACACAAGATGCTTACAGGATGATTGTGACAAGTTCAATAAAGTGGGTCAATGATCTGAAAGCTTTTTGTATTTAGTTGAACAATGATGGAAAAGCAATGGACACTGTGAGAAAAAAGTACTTGGTTTTTACCTCATGTGAATTCATTAGGGTGGAGTCACTGTGGCTGTCCTGGGGAAACATCTTTCTACTCTTGAGTTTGATCATCATGAGAGAATAATAAGGAACTTCAATAGAACAAATGTCTCATTGAAATTTATTTGTCTTGACATATTAAAAATAACTATGCAGTGGAGTCCATAAGTCTGAGACCTCATTCAAAATTCTGGGAGTAAAAATCTAATTTAGAACTGAAAATAAAATGTTGGATTTAAAGAAAAAAATACATTTTTGTAAACCTTTTCACTCAAATAAATGTACTACGTTTTAATGATTTGTCATGTTTTTAGTTACAAAAATAAATAATTTTCTCAGATATATTTCAACTCCACTGTATATTAATTGTAAATAGTACCTCAATTCTTCTCTGTAATCCTCTGTCTCCTGCATAATGTCTACAGTGAAGACAGACAGATCCTGTTTAACGGGGTTTTATTTATACTTACACTACCATTCAAACGTTTGGGGTCTGTAAGATTTTTTAATATTTCTGAAAGAAGTCTTTAATGCTCACCAAAGCTGCATTTATTTGCTACATAGTAAAAGTAATATTGCAAAATATTATTACAATTCAAAACAACTCTTTTCTATTTGAATATATTATACAATTTTATTTATTCCTGTGATGGCAAAGCTGAATTTTCAGCAGCGTTTACTCTATATTCTAGTACACTGTTTTGGTGCTCAAGAAACATTTCTTATTATTAACAATGATGAAAACATTTGTGCTGCGTAATATTTTCGTGGAAATTGGGATACATTTTTTTAGGATTCCTTTTTCAGATTCTTCTTTAATGAATAGAAAGTTCAAAATAAATTTCTATTTAAAATAGTTTCTATTTTGTAATATTTTAAATGTCTTTACTGTCACTTTTGATCAATTTAATTTTATTGCATTCTTGTTGAATAAAAGTAATAATTTCTTTAAAAAAAAAACACTTACAGACCTCAAACTTTTGAATGATAGTGTATGTGCATAATAATTACATTACCCAATTATCCCAATTATCTACCAACTTCACCTGTCTGCACTGTTGCCTGTTGCTTTGTCCAGCAGTATCTCCACATATGGAAGTTTCTTGAACCTCTCTGTTCCCACAGCTACATAGCTTTGGCCACTCCCCAGCTCCTCTGTGGAGGTCACTGTGAAGCCCTCCAGAGTACAAAGCCTGAGAGGTAAAAGGTGAAATGATTATGGAATGAAAACAACCTTAAACAGTGCCTGAGGATATAAATATGACATGCTTCATAAGTTCATTATAAAACAATCAGTATGTGTGACTAAATACCTGCGCACGGCTCCTGTGCGAAGCATGGCTTTTTCAGAAATGAGGCTCAGGATCTGCTCTAGATTTTTCTGCATGTGGCGGGGAATGATAAGACGCATGGCAGGACTGAGGATGTCTCCATTCCTAAATACACTATGTATGAGTGCGAAAAGAAGAATGAAGAATAAGTCTGGATATCTTGTGAAAGGATGAGAAAAAAACGGTTTAACAGAGGTAAAACTTTGAGTGTGCATTTAAAGTTCTCACTGTATGATGCAGGGCAGAGTGATGGCCTTCCTCCATTTTGCAGACACATTAGGCCTGACAAGTGCTTTAGCCTGTAATAAAAGTTGATTCTGGTTCTGATTAGTCAATCACAGCATTCTGAGGTCAAAATTTTCTCATATAATGACAGTTAAACTATATAATTGGCCGTTTGCTCAGGAAACTAATTTCCCACAAAGCTTGTGTCTCTCATATCACTTTGCGGCCACTTTATTGTCACATAATACAATAACTGGAAATCAATATTTCATGTCCATTTATTTACTTGCCAATTAGCTGTGTAATAAGCAGGTTAATGTGAAGCCAGTGATTTTCCATCAGCATAAATCAAGGTGCAGTGTGTGTGTTAACGCTGAGTCAGTCAACAGTGGTTTTAGCAGCTCTGTGTGCAGCATTAAGGGGTCAGGCACTGAAACATGCCCTAACAAGCTTTCTAATCTGATAACACAAACAGTGTGTCTCCCCTGGCCTTCTATTGTTGGAAAGGACAATAACACCCCTCACTCCCTATCCTCCTCTTTATAACACACTTCAGCTAAGCATCCACAGCAACATACAAACACAAACACAACATAACACCCCAGTAGACAGACAAACATGACACACTGACTCTATCTGGTATGATTTTTGATTCCTAAATTCAAACTTTAGAATACCATGACTTATAGGTTAATTGCACAGATCTGTTCAACTGAATAAAAAGTCACAAATAAACAGTAAGTATTGAACTCTCGCATGTATACCTGGGTCGGTTCCACAGCTCTGCACAGTGGACCTTTCTTCAGTCCTGAAGTCAGATAACTAAACATTTACAGAAAAGACAAGCTAAATATGATGCATCTTTTAGCCATCATCCCAATATTAAGCCTGCTGAACCAGAAACAATAAATCTACAATCTAATTTCAAGATGCCTGATCATAAATTCTTTCCAATTTCCCACAAAGTTAAATAAGCACCTCTCTAAAGGGTCATTTTCTATAAGAAGGGATTTTCGTTTGCATTTACATTCATTAATTTGCATTTACATTAAATAAACTGTTATGTAATTAAAATTATACAAAACACTTAATGCCCACATTTAGAAAGATAGGATAAGTATACTTCTCAAGCAAAACAGTTCATAAAGAAAGGTTTTTTAAAGGTTTAAAGGATAAAACATAAATAATGCATATATACTGTTCAAAATGTGAGCTGAGGGGAACTGACTTTATACTAAAAATAACTGAGACCAATTGGATACAAAAATTTCATAATGAGTAGTACCATTTCTTTGTAGA